TTTCCAACCTGTTCTTATTAGAAGTAGTAACAGCAATGGTGAGTGCACCCTAAATAGAATAAAAAGTACTTGGAAAGCACTCTGTCTGTATGTTGCTGCTGTGTCAATAAGAGAAGAACCCACTGATCACTCTGAGTGTAGGGCAACACTTTTTAAAATGATCAATTATATCAAGGTTTCAAATTAGTATTTATGCATCGTGTTGCTAATCTAAGACATGATAATTCTAAATTCTTAATTTTTCCGACTAATGAATGATAGAATTTACTTCATTTTATTTTTGACTAAGACATAACTTTACAAAGTATTCCAGATTATAATTACAGCTGAACAAAGTGTTCCCGGGGTAAATAGTCTGTAACTAGTGCAAATTATCTTATGCATATATTTTATTTTAGGACTCCTTGTTTGGTTCCTCACAGGTAATGGCATTCTGAATAATTACCAGTGCTATCTGCGTGATGCACTATAATTTTCTTCTGGAGGCTGAGTGTTTATTTATACCAGTATGCCTGATCTTTCATAAGGAACTTCTATCGAGGCATAGTAATCAGTCTTGGTGTTGACAGAAAAGTGCTCTGCTCTGCAATATTTAGGAGATAAAGAAACTAAATTAACCCTCCAGTATACTGTCTTTATAGTCTGATTAAAACCTTAAAAGTCTGAATAAATGACTGTATATATGAAAAACGAATCCAATCCCCTTAACAAAAAAAATATTTTCTATATATTACACTGAATCATAACTTATTAAGTATGTTTATTTGTGAAAAGCTCAAATAGAAAAATTAAAAATTTTATTTTGGATTGCACCCATTTTCACAGCGAATTTGAATGCAGTAGATGAACTTAAACAAACTGTTAACTGCTTTTTCCTTCAAATGCTTTAATATCATACATTAATTTTTGCAGATATCTAGCTAATAATTTATCCAGCTCCATCGGCTGTGATTTTATTGACTTGAAAGAATTGGAGCACATTATTTAAATGTTTTTAAAAGATGCATTCTTTGAATACGTTATTTTTATTTATTTATAAAGGAACAAGTCAAAATTCCTAATCACTTTTTTGAAAACAGTAGCAATTCTTTACCAATGGCCTAAAGACAGCAATACTCAGCACTATTTATAAGAGTGTAAGTTATATATGTTATCAGTATGGAATAAGGTAGTTTGAAGCCTTTTTAATGGGTTGAGTGAAATATTTGTTTCACAAAACCCGCTGAAGAAATAAAAGCAGGCCAGAAAAATATTTTTATAGTTACATATTTAATACAGCATTCTCCATTAAAAATTAGGTTTAAGTAGGCAGTGGGCAAGGCCTCAAGTGCCAAAGTTCGAGGTGTGTTAGGAAGACACTCTAAGACAGAGTTTGTGTTTTGACTGGTCCTGCAAGGAGCCAGGAGCGGGGCTTCATGATCCTTGTGATTGATTCCCTCCAAACTTGGGATATTCTGTGATTCTAATACTCTATGAGTCTAGGACTAATTATTAAGCATTTTGATATTGTTCCATTCTCTCACTCTTCCCCCATTCAATATTCAAAAAACTTCAACAAGTATTCATTTCTCACTTGCATGATATGCAGCTCTTCAATATTGTGAATGAGCAATACCTAATAACAGAATTTAAAAGAAATACTGCTGTAGCATGGAAGTATTTCATGGGTTCATCTACAAAGCTTCTACATAACCATATTATCAGATTGTTCTTCAGGAAGCTTTTTCACAGAAATTTCCCCCCAGACATAGTGTACTGAATCATCACAAGTTTGATTACCTAGATGACAGGATGAACTGTAAGTCACAAGAGGCTGAGCTAGAAGCACCTACAGAAACTATAGGATGTGAGTAAGATATGTTTTGTCTTTCCTGTTCTTTATTTGATTCCCTGGTTATGACAGTGTTATTAAGGCACCAACTGGAAAGGAGAAAGTGAGTGACAACATGTAATGAAAATAATGAGTAGCAGTGGCAGGCTGAGAGACTGGGAGATGTAATTGGAAGGAGGGGAAAACTACCAAAAACAACGTGAAAAATGAAATCAGTATTAAAGAAAAGTAGCCCATCTTTTCAAGACCTTTTAATAAATTTATATCTTGTGAGTCGTCTTAACCTCCAGCAAATATTCCCTTGCAGGTTTCATATGAAACACATTCTAATATGTCAGCATAAAATTTGTGTCATATTTGTAGAGCATTTTTAGCATTTACATCAGCTGGAATTTCAGCATGACCATTCTGATCTACTTATATGTGAATTTATCTGTCTGAAAACCAAGCATAGCATTTTGTCATAATCACAGAATCACAGAATTGTAGGGGATGGAAGGGACCTCTAGAGGACATCGAGTCCAGCCCCCCTGCGAAGCAGGCCACCTACAGCAGGCAAATAATCTTCTTCTATCATCACAGAATTTGAAATAGTCTTGATTCAGAAAAGACTTTACTTTTCAGTAACAGATAAGCAACCAAAAAAAGCAATGGTATACTGCATGAGCAACAGCCATGCATTCAGGAAAGGCAAAATATACAGTACTCATGGGTAAATCAAGTGCCTTTCTTTATACTGAAATTCAACAATTCTAGGAGTAAAAATATGGCCTTCATTCCAACAGATCCTGGCTGTTCCTTTGACAATTCCTATCTCATAAATAAGAAGTTAATTTTTGTTCATTTGTCACTGCATTTATTTTCTGAATAATTTTAATACCTAATCCTTCTTTGAAGTACAGTTACCAGAAATGGACACTAAGTAAATGTGATTTCTACTGTATAAGTTGCAAACTAGGGTAAAATTCCATTCCAATTTTTCTTTGATATTTCCTAGTTTATCTATGAAATAATAGAATTACATGCTCTTGCTGAAAATTCACACTCAATACACTAACATGGCTGCTATACCCCTACTGAAGTGATTGCTTTCCAAAGCAACGGTAGCTCCATCATGCTAAAATAGGATCAAAGAAATATTGAAAGGCTTGTTGAAAGCAACCATTAAAATCATCTAGTTCCAACCCAACTTCTATGGGCACCTTTGCCACCCACTAGATCAGGCTACCCAAGGCCCCACCCAACTTGACCTTAAATCCCCTTGAGGTATAGGGTGTCTACAACTTCTCTGGGCAGCTTATTCCAGTGACTCACCACTATTCGAGTAAAGAATTTCATCCTAACATCTAACCTAAATCTTCCCTTTTAGTTGAAAATCACTCCCCCTTGTCCTTTCACTATCAAATCAAGTAAAAAGTGAGTCTCCTTCCTCCTAATAAGCTCCCTTCAAGTACTGGAAGGCCACAGTGAGGTCTCCCTGAAGCCTTCTCTTCAAGATAAAGAAGCCCAGCTCTCTCATCCTTTCTTCATAAGAGAAGGTGTTAGCCCTTTGTTCATTTTCATAGCCTTCCTCTGAACCAGCTACAGCAGCATTGCATCTCTTTTCTGCTTTGTGGCCCCAGGCCTGGATGCAGTACTCCAAATGGTGCTTCATAAGGGCAGAGTAAAGTGGAACAATCACCTTCCTCTCCCTGCTGGCCACACTTCTTTCAATGCAGCCTGGGTTAGTCTTCTGAGCTTCAAATAAACACTGCTGGCTCATGTCCAGTTTTTTGTCCACCAGGACCCCCAAGAAATTCTCTGCAGGACTGCTCTCAATGAGTTCTTCTCCCAGTCTGTACACATATCTGGGGTTGCTTCAACCCTTGTACAACACCTTGCTCTAGGCCTTATTGAACTGCACTAGGTTTGTATGGACCTGTTTCTCAAGCTTATCTAGATCCCCCTAGATGGCATCTCTTTCTTCTACTGTGTCAACTATACCACTCAGCTTGATGTCAATAGCAGACTTGCTGAGGGTATACTTGATCCCTCTGTCAGTGTTGATACTAACGATGTTGAAGAGCACCAGTCCTAAGATGGACCTGGGAGACACCACCTGTGACTGGCTTCCATGTAAACATAGAGCTACTGACATGATTAAACCCTCTGGCTGTGACTATACAACCAACTCTTTATTCACTGAATAGTCTAGCCTTCAAATCAATCTCTCCAATTTAGAGCCTGGGATGTGGTGCAGGATCATTTCAAAAGCCTTGCACAAGTCCAGATAGATTATACCAATTGCCCTTCCTTTATCCACTGATGACATCATTCCCTTGTAGAAAGCCACCAGATTGGTCAGGCATGATCTGCTCTTCATGAAGCTGTGCTGTCTCAGATCACCTCCCTGTCTCATACATTCCTTCACATATCTTCCAGGAGGATCTGTTCCATGATCTTCACAGGCACAGATATAAGTCTTTCTGGCCTGTAGCTCCCTGGGACTTCCCTGTTGAGCACCAGACTCAGTAATGCTTCACTTCTGTCTGGTCTGTCCTATTCTTGGATCAGGACATTGTCTTCAATGGACTCCAGGAGTCTCCTGAACTACTTGCAGCTCACTGAGTTGTTTTCCCAGTAGATATTTGGGTGGCTGAAACCCCCCATCTGGATGAGAGCCTGTAAACATTATGCTTCTTGGAGCTGAAGCAAAAACTCATCAATAGGCTTCCCTTGATCAGATGGCCTGTAGTATAGTCCAGTCACCAGATGCCTTTCATTGGACTGGTCCCTAATTGTAACCTAAAAGCTCTCAACCTGGTCATGAATGTCTACCAGAGGGAGAGGTCTATCCACTTCTCAAAATAAAGGGCAACACCCCTGATCCACCCACCTTTCCTGTCTCTTCTAAAAAGCTTGTAGCCCTTGTTAGTAGTAGTAGTCCAGTTGCATTCTCCACCCCACAATGTTTTTGTGATAGCAATTAGGCCATAGTTTTATAATTGCATCATAGTTTCCACCTTCTCCTGTTTATTTCCCATGCTGCATGCAATGATGTAGAGACAATTCAGGTGGGTTACTGACTGCATTACCTTCTTGGAGGAGCCATCTCAAGTACCTCTTTGCCAAATCGGAGGTTCCCCTCCTACTTCCTAAAATGACAGTGTTCCCTGGCTCAAACGTATGTCAGAGAAGAGTGCATACACAGCCCGCTGTTATGATAAATTACATCACTGAGTTTCCCAAATTTGGGGAAATTGCAGGGGTCAGCACACTAGGAGTACAGGGAACTCCTGGTAAAACCACCTATCTAATCACTGTGTCTCGCCTGCCAGGTAGGCATGTTAATTTGATTAACTAATGCATTAACAAAATAACAACTTCTTGCAGGAGTAACTTTATTTTTGATAAAATAAACTACTGAAAAACAGGTAAATGACAGGCAAATTTCTTCTGAACCAGATCAGATTTTTGCTGTGGCTTGGATTTTGTTTGTGTTTCTACAGAAACATCTGTGTAAATATAAAGGAATGCTAAATGTCACTCTCAGTGACTTTCTATTAGGGAAGAAGTGGGACTGAGTTGCAAACATCCAGGATTTAGTAGAGTTTGATTTGTATTGCTTTCCTCTTTTCTCTGCTTTTTATCTAGCATGAGCTGCCAAAAAAAATAAGAGGATTAGGAAGTACTTGTCATTCTTCTTCTAGAAGGTAAGCTTTTATTCTATTTGAGGATTATTAAAACTAGCAAAAGAATAGAAATATTGTGTAATCATTGATTAAACTGAATGACATAACAAGATAAAAATAATAATATGCCTCAGGAAATTTAATTGTGTTGACTCAATATGGTTTATCTGTGAAATACTCTGTTCCATATATTAAGATTTTATTTCATATTTTACAGCAAAATGTTCTAATTAAGTTTGTTCAGTTCCTGATCTCAAAACATACTTAATTTTTGTAATAGAGAAGATAAGATTTAGTTGAATGGAGCAGTCAGACCCAGACAATCTTAATGATAAATTTGAAGAGTGTTGAGAATTATACGATGCCTATGTAATTATCGTATCCTAAGTAGGATTTATAAATTTGCTTATACATCTCTCTGGATTCAGGAATTAATAAAAAGACAATAACATTTTTGTATAGTTTGGTCTTAAAATTCAAAATAAATCCTTTTGAAAAATCAAAATTTACCAACTGGGAAATGTAGCTATGCTACATGGGAGCAGCTGAAGTGTAATACTAGGGAAAGTTGTTCAGAATGATTATCAGAATGAAAAAATGACCTGTTTCAAGGTGTAATAAAGGATCTAAGTACTGTACAAACACAAAGAAACTGTGTGACAGAACCAAGAAGTTGAACCCAAAGAACTGCAACCACAAGCTATTAATAGATGTTGCCTTCTGGAAATATACAGTGGAGATTCAGGGGTAAACACAAATTTTTTTTTCTAACTTCTGAAAATTCATACAAATGCACAAGAATAATTCTGTTTTTGAATGACATATAAAATGAAAAAAAATCATTATAAAAAAATGACAATGCTATTATAATTCGGGCTTTGTAAGCGAATATAGACAAATCATAATAGAAGGGCTACTCTAAAAATAATGCCTCTTGTTTTTATCATTTTGGTCCACAGAATCAAAGGTGGATGTTGGTCCTACAGTAGCAGAGGTTGAACCTTCACACCAATACTCTGTTATATTTTGTTTCTGTGTGACAGATGGTAGCCAAGGGTCAGTCTGACAAAATGGAATCTGACATGGAAGTGTGTATGAAGCAAAGGTGCGGAACTGAATTATTCCATGTGGAAAAACTAGCACCCACTGACATCCATCCATGCTTACTGAACGTTTATGGAGATCAAACAGCAGATGTGAGCACACTGAGAAAGTAGTTGGTGTGTTTCAGCAGGGGTAACAGCAATAGCGGATTACCTTCACTGTTGGCATGCAGGCTCTTGTTCGTGACTGGTGAAAATGCATAGCTAGAAGTTGCCTATGTTAAAAAATAGTGTTTTTCATCCGAGAATTTGCTCTATTTAATAGTGTTATTGTGCTCTTTGTTATAGTTTCCATGGAAAGAAATAGGAGTCATTATTTTAGAGAGTGAAGGCAGGGAATAGAAGGTATCATTTGCAAGTATTTGCATTTAAGATACTGGTATTTAATTTGCATTTAACTTTAAACCTGAGCTTACAATGCTTTCATTTTGAATTAATAAAACATGTTCTGGAGATTATTATAATCCCTTTATAGCTTTATTTACACTGCAGTAAAGATGTACTTTATTAACTATAGTACTAAAGCAATGTATTTTATAGAATCATGGAATCATTTAGGTAGGAAAAGACCTTTCAGATCAGCAAGTCCATTCAACCATGCCCCTAATCACCATGTGCACATATTTTTTAAATACCTCCAGGGATGGAAACCCTACCACCTCTCTGGGCAACCTGTTCCAATGCTTGGTCACCATCTCCATGACGAAATTCTTCCTAATGCCCAATATAAGCCTCCCCTGATTAAACTTGAGATCATTTCCTCACATTCTATCATTTTTCACCCAAGAAAAGAGACCAGCAGCCACCTTACCATAGCCTTGTTTCACATAGTTGTAGAGAGCTGTAAGATCTCCTCTCAGCCTTTTCCAAAGGAAATAGGCCTAGCTTCTCCAGCCACTCCTCATAAGTCTTGTTCAGTCTTTCAATAACTTCATTGTTTTTCTCTCTCAAGCACATGCTTGAGCAGCTCCATAGCCTTCTTGTAGTGAGAGGTCCAAAGTGACCACAGTACCTGTGTACTCCAAGTAAAAAAAATCCACAGCCTTTCCCTCATCCACTAAATGGGTCATCTTTATCATTGAAGGTGATCAGGTTAGTCATTTAGGACCTGCCTTTCATAAACATGTGCTGGCTTGGTCTGATCACTTGGCTGTCCTTTAAATGCTGTGTGATGAAATTCAAGATAATCTGTTCCATGGTCCTTATTGGCACCAAGTGTAGACTGACAGGCCTGTAATTTGGGATGAGAGGAAAATTACAGTTTTGTGGACACAGGACTGGAATAATTTGAACCTAAACTGCATTTTCTCTTAAAATTTTCTATAGCTATGAAAAATATTAGACTACTAAAGTGCCAGTAAATTAAAACTACTAGATCTATTAGAAATTATTAAACTTCATTTTAGGTGAAAAAAAATCCCCACTTTTTTACATTTCCATTAAATTTGCAGATTTTGTTACTGAAAACAAATTGAGTGGGCTTTCAAAATGGGTGAATTCCCAATTCAATGCCATATAAGATTAGGATTCTTTTCTCTGTCTCATAAACTTGCAAACAAAATAGACAAAAAGGCACAGCTCATGATTTTTACAAGATTTTTGATTTTGGAAAGTGACTCTGTGATAACATTGTGGTGTTATATTTAAAAATGATGACAGAGCTATATATTAATTATAATGTTACAAATATAATTGTTCATGTAATAGTCCTCCAAGAAAAAACAATGCTGTAATATTTTGATAAAAAGTGATATTTTGAAATATCACTTTCATTTCTGGCCCGTGCAACAGTTTGAATTTATTTCTAATACCTAGTCTTTCCTGATTAACAAGGTTTAATTCTTGACATACTTACTGATTCAAGGCATATGCAGACAACTCTATTCATCAGTCAGCCTTAGGCATATGAGGCCCAGTCATCCATTATGATCTTCCTTTGTGCCTCTAAGAAAAAAAGTATACACGGTGTTTTGCTCGAAAACCAATCTCAGTTTTCCAGAAAAATAAAAGCACATTCTATAGACTATTTACAGCCCCAGTAGTAAATGATGTGTTCAGATGAATGTGGTAACCCACTAATCAGGAAAATTGAACTTGGTCATGGTGCCAATACTTGTATAGGAAACAGTGGATTTTTTTTTTTTTCCTTTGGCTCTGAAACTAAGAGGAACAGCACCCAAATTATGTGATGGAAATGATCCAAACTAAATGGGATAAAATTTCTTCTCATGTTCAAAAATAATTCCTGTAGTCAGTCAGGCTTTTTCTAGATGTGTGTATTTTTTTCAGTCTTTCCCCAGATATGACCATGGATTTTCATTTCAAACCCTGCTGGAAGTATTTTGTCCCCATGGACTGGATTAATCAGGATAAATATAGACATCTGCATCTATATAGCTGTCTAGACTTTTGATAATGTCAGTGGAAAGAAATAAACACACTTTACTTGTGATTCATCTCACATCAAAATAAATGTCTAAAATAAATCAGATGAATCATATCTAAGATAGCATATTTCCTTCCATTACCTATAAAAGGACATCTGATAGCTAGTTCAGATGAAGACAACTACATACACTCTAATGTATCTCACTCCAAGAGCTTTCTTTTTTGCCCTGTCAGTCAAGCCAATTCTTCACACTAGAGGAGATATAGGTGTGGGAAATGAAAGCCGTGAGTGCTGTCTAAAGGGCAGCTCTTAGATATGTCTGATGGTAACTACTCAGCCTCACTATCCCAAAAGATGCCATATGAAGCACTTTTAAAAAAGTAGTCCTACAATAATTACAGGAAGTTGCAGTACCATTAAAGGAAAATGAAAGAGTAATCTCCCATTTCTTTATAGACTTTTTTTTTCTCTTTATTCTGCCTTGGGTTGTGTGCCCATAATCCAGAAACTGTTGGCATTTTTAAGATTTCCTGGTGATATCTGTTGGAAGGGGGTAAAAATTAAAAAAATATTTAACAGCTGAAAATGGAGAGTTGCAAGGAAAATTGAGTTGCAAGGATCTCAGAGACTAAATCACAGGCCATATCCCACAGGTGGCCCTTGACATGTTCACAATATTTTTTGCTAGTTTTCACAGCTTCAGTATTTATAATGACATAATGAAATCGAACCATAAGTGTCAAAGAAAGCTTGCTGATAAATTTCTGTGGCTGGGATTTCTGCCCTGGTTTTCAGACATGTGAACTTTCATTGCCACATTTATTTTATTATGTAGTAGACAAAGAGTGCTGGCCAATTAGCTCTTATTAACCTCAAAATGTGCCACTGTAATTTAATATCAACCTGTCAGGTAAGCAATCCACTATTCCAAAGAAGGACTACAATGATTTTTTTAGATAATGCTTTATTCTTATTGGACCTAGTTTTCAGACGCTCTGAGCAGTTGCAAAAAGCTAGGCCTGCATGTGACTACACTACAAAAAGATGTTGCTACCAAAAGGATGCTGAAACAGAAAGATGATATACAGATGAAATAACTGAAATCCCTGCTGATTTTCCTGAAAGATTTGTCTGCCCTAAGAGAAACATTTCTAACACACTT